ACTGGGTTTGATCCTCAAAACCACATAAAAATAAATAGATAAAATAAAGGTATTGTGTCCATCTATAACTAAAAAAAAGAAAAGAAAAGACCCATGTCTAGCATGTGGTTATAGGGAGCTCTTAGGTCTTAGGAAGCCAGAGTGGAGCCCCTTCCTCAATGAACATTTTTCATGCCAGCAACTTGTTGGAAGAAACCAGATGGATTGTCCTGTAGGATAAGCTACAGTCTAGATTAGCTTGTATATCATAGGATAAGCTAGGTTACACTGTGGGACCCAGAAACTCCAGCATCTCATTGGCTTAAAACAATGAAACTATTTCTCACTCCTATATATCCATCTTAGATTGAGGGGGAGTTCTGCTACCATTTAATCATCAATCTCACACCCAGAACCAGACTAATGACGTAATTACAGTGCAAAACATTGCTGGTTATCTTAGTAGCAGAAGAAAAGAGCTCTAAAGAGTCTCTTTTAGGCAATTAAATGCTCAGACTGGTAGTCAATTATTCTTTATCTCATTGGCCAGAACTGATCATAAAAAGAAATCCAGGAAGTATATCTTACCATGTGCATGGAAACTACAGATGTGAACATTTCAGTGAGCTGCACTAACATCTACTAGTCTATTTGCTCCCTTGTGGTGTCATTTTCCTTGATTTGACAATAGAACATCGTAGGTTGGTCTGTGTGCTTCACACAGCATCACAGCAGAAGACATGCAGTGTTGAAACAGATTGCAGCAGTAACAGGCCCTTTCTCCACAGCCCCTCCTTGAATTCATGCCCTTGGGTAGATCTCTCACTTTGACACTGGCTTTGATCATGTGACATAATTTGGAAATCAGAACAAGAGTGAATCTGATGCAGTCAGAGATTCAAAAAGTATGTGTACTGCCAAGCATAGTGGTGAATGCTTGGAGGTTGAGGCAGGAGGATCCTGAGTTCAAAGCCAGCCTCAGCAAAAAGCAAGGTTCTAAGCAACTCAGTGAGACCCTGTCTCTAAATAAAACACAAAATAGGGCTGGGGATATGGCTCAGTGATCAAGTGCCCCTGAGTTCAATCCCCGGTACCAAAAAAAAGTATGTGTACCTTGGGACCTTCCCCTCTTGCTACTTCTTAGAATACCGAGACATCATCTGAAGAGACCTGGGCTAGATTACTGGAAGGTGAGAAACTACTTAGAGCAAGAAATGAACAGTTACAGATAAGTCCACCTAGACCAACCATCCTGCATTATCTAGACTTCCTGACCACACAGATCAGTCAAGCAGCACAAACAAGAAAATCTGCCAGTAGATCCACAGAACTGTGAGCAAATGAAATTGTTCCTTTTAAGTCAAAAAATTTGAGGGTGGTTGATAACAGAACACAAGCTAACTAATATACTAGTTAATCCATTTTTAGTAGATCAGTAGATCCAACCTGATCCCTGCATTGTAAAGTTCCCCATAAACTTTTCAAATAAGGTTTCATCTACTGATTATTACTGCCTATATCAACAATTAATGGCACCCAAGTTAATGATTTTCTAATTCTATTATACCATCCACACTAATTAGCAGGATTTTTTTCTGCAAATAACTTTCTCTTATCTACTAGTGATAATTAATAACCCTTAAATAGTTTGTACAAGATAAATTCCTAATTCTTTCTTTTGAATTTTAAGTTTCAAAGGAAAAATTTGTGCCCTAGTTACTTCTCATGGAGCTCAATGAGGGTTTAGTTTTGTTCATTTATTTATTTTTTTGTTCTCATATCAATATGAATCGATTTTTAAAAAATATTAGATATGGTTTCAATAAACTGCAGATGCTTTTTTTTTTTCTATCCAAACCACTCCAGTTTTGGCTCACATGTTGGCTTCTGTATCTTTTTTTCTTTTTATTTTTTTTGGGGGAGGCAGTATTGGGAATAGAACCCAGGGACATTCTACCAATGAGCTACATCCCTCTTGTTTAGTTTTTGAGACAAGGTCTCAAAATAAAGTTGCAAAGGCTGGCCTTGAACTTGTAATCCGCCTGTTTTGGCCTTCTAAGTAACTGAGATTACAGGCATGCACTACCATGTCCACTTGGTTCCTGTAGCCTTTTGACATGATCCATTAGTTGTTACTTTAAGGCATAATGAAATTTCCCAAGCTCATTTTGTGTATTTCTCCACAAGCTAGCCATTCCTCCAAAGAGCCTTGGATCTAATTAATGGGAAAGGTATTTTGAGATCACAATCTGGGTAGTTGGTGTGATCAATGCTATTTGAATGCCATTGCCTCTAGACAATAACAGACTTTAGTAGACAGACTTAAGAAATATGTATTCCTAGCAGGGCACAGTGGTGCACTCCTATAATCCCAACTACTTAAGAGGCTAAGACAAGAGGATTCCAAGCGCAAGGCCAGCCTGGGAAATGTAGCAAGATCCTGTCTGAAAATTAAATCTTTAGTAAGGGCTGGGGATGTATCTTTGTGGTAGAGTGCTTGACTGGTATATGTGAGGCCCTGGGTTCAATCCCTAGTACCTCCCCCTCCCCCCCACACACACAAAGGAAGGAATAAAAGAAATATGTATTCTTGGGCTGGGGATGTGGCTTAAGCCGTAGCGCGCTTGCCTGGCATGCGTGCGGCCCGGGTTCGATCCTCAGCACCATATACAAACAAAGATGTTGTGTCCACTGAAAACTAAAAAATAAATAAATATTAAAATTCTCTCTCTCTCTCTCTTTTAAAAAAAAAAAGAAATATGTATTCTTTAAAAAAGGTGGGGGGAGTTTATGCTGCTATTTCAATTAAAATTAAACCATAGAGGAATTTACTCAATTTATTTGATTTTATACCTGTATTTCTTTATCTAAAAAATATAATATTGATTCTTAACCACATTAATATAATAACTAATTTGCACTATCCTATAACTTACAGAATATTAAAATAGTTTCAAAGTATAATATTACTACCAATAATGAAATGAAATCTAAGATCTTTTTGTAGTTCTATTTGTTTTTATCAAAAAATGCCTGAAAGGGCAGCAGAATAGAATTGACAATATGATTGATGTATGTACATTCCATATATGTACTATATGTCAAAATTCATTCTGTTGTCATGTATGACTAAAAATAAATAAATAAATAAAGAATTAAAAAAAATAAAAATGCCTGAAAGGACTGGGGTTGTAGCTCAGGCCTGTCTTGCACATGTGAGGTACTACGTTTCATTCTCAGCACCACAAAAAAATAAAAAATAAAATATTGTGTCCATCTACAACTAAAATTAAAAATAAAAAATTAATGCCCGTAGTCTCAGCTTTTAGGAATATCACCTGATCCAGCCTGGATGCGTATATATAGAAAGAATTTTAAGGCTTTGGCTCTTGGAAGCCAGCAAATCCAAAATCTGCAGGGGAGACTAACCATCTGGAGACCCAGGGAAGAACCAATGCTGCATGCAGTTCAATTCTGAAGTTCAATTCTTCATATCTGGAAGAATTCCTTCTTGGCCAAGGGAAGTCAGTTTTTATTCTGTTAAGGCTTTTAAATGATTTGACAAGGCTGCCACATTATGGAGAAAAGTGACCTGCTTTATTCAAAGTCCACCAATTTAAATGTTTATCTTATATAAAAAACACCTTCACAGCAACGTCCAGAATAATGTTGGACAAATATCTGGTCAACATAGCCCAACCAAATTGATCAGTAAAATTAAGCATTACAAATGCACTGCTTTGTGAGTTGAACTGTGTCCCCCCAAAACATATTTGAAGTTTTAATACCTGGAACCTGTGAACATGATCTTACTTGAAAATGAGGTCACTATAGATGTAGACAATAAAGCTGAGGTCATACTGGGGTATGGTGAGCCCTTAATATGACTCAATATGACTGGTGTGGTGATAAGACAAGACACATGGAAAAGTCATCCAGAGGAAAAAACATATGAAGATACACAGAATGCCATGTGACACTGAAGGTAAAGACTGGCACTATGGTGCCATATGCCAAGGGTTGCCGGCAACACCAGAGACTAAGAAAAGTCATGGAACAGAGCCTCCCTTATAACACCTAGTAGCAACTAACCCTGTCAACACCTTGATTTTGGACTTCTAGACTTCAGAATTATGAGAAAATAAGTTTCTTTGGTTTAAAATTTAAAATCACCAAGTTTGTGGTACTTTGTTATAGTAGCACTAAAAAACCAATGCAGACTACACAGACAAAATACTATCACTTAAAATAATCATCTTTTCCAGTATGTTTATTTTACCAACTTGTAATAAAGTTAGGTTCATGCATTCCTGTTTGCTTTTATTTTGAAACTGCTTTTTAATTTAATTTTTGGCTATACAAGTTATTTATGTTTCAAGTCAAAACTATTGATATATCCATGGGGCTGGGGGTGTAACCCAGTGATAGAGCTTTTGCCTGCCATGCATGAGGCCCTGGGTTTGATCCCCAGCAACACACACACACACACACACACACAAAGATATACTCAGAGAAGTCTTTTACCAGTGTGTCCTACTTTCTTCCTTGTTTCCTCAAAATATCAAAAAATATAAAATAATGTGAATAATCGGGAAATATGGTTATGCTTCCTAACTCTTCTGTAAGGTTTTCAAATCAGAACAAAATTTCAAAAACTGAAAATCAAAATTACAACTCATTTTACAGGGCCTAGTTCAGGTCCCATGGCCTCAATCAAACTTTCCCATAAATACTTTTTTTTCTTTAAACTCTTACATTGTTTACTATCTATATTGCTCAGCTCTTTGCATCAATCAATAAATTAAAAAATTAATGCATTGAGATCTGATAGGTATTATATTAGATGCTGTGGGGACATACTATATTATCAGTTAAATTTTCATGTATAGTCATTTCCTTGATTAAGCTATATATTGAAACCAAGGCTTCCTCATATCCTCCATGGTGGTCAGCACTGCTGATTAACGAAACCAGAATGTCTTTGACCAAAATATTGAAAAAATATAAAAACTTAAGCAGACTGATACACATCTTTTAATAAAGACTACTAATGACAATTTCATGTTTAAATAAATACACTGTTAAAAATCATGCAAGAGTATTTTATTATAATTACTAAGAATGATTTGAGACTACTAGTCCCTCTGCAGAAACACAATGCACAGATATAAAATGATCAAAGGCTTTTGTAATTATGAATCTCAAGTAAGTACAGTAGCCATCATGAACCTGTAGAAGAAAAATCAATATGGATACTTTTAGTAATTGTTAACAAACAGCAGAAGAAAGGGTATGATGCAAGAGTGATATTCTAAATACATAACAATATGCAAGATATAATATTCAGAAGGTAACCCAGCCACATATAACGGTTGTTCTGGGGTGTAGCAGTTTTGAAAGTAGTCTTCATGAAAACAGATTTCCCTTGGTTAATGATGCCTCAGAATATACTACCCTATAGCATAACTATACTTTTATATTTGAATAGATTTTCTGGAAAGCACTTTGGCAAATATGTAAAAAGCTATAAAAATGTTTGTACCCTTATACCTAGTAATTCCATTCCATGAAATTTAATCTTAGAAAATAATCAAAAAGGTGAAGGTCATGATAGCAAGAACATGTATAAAATGTCTCCTGTATATTACTTGTAATGACAGCAGGAGAAAAAAGAAAATTAGTTTAAATGAATGCAAGTAGCAAATGTTATCTTAAAATTGAAATTATGAAGCTTGTGAAATAACATTAAGTTAAAAAGATAAAACAAAATTGTACAATATTATTATAACTATGTGATGCATATGGTCAACAACTAGAAGAGAATAAGTGTAGTAAATCTCTTGTGACAGAGTAATAAAATTATGGGTAATTTCCAGCCTCTAATCCCCCCTTACTACTTTCTGAATTTTCTATAATCCTGCCCTAATCTACAATGAATCCAGAAACAAACTATCAAGACAGCAAGGGCTCACTAATCTTAACCCACTAGGTAAAGAGGGAGAACAGGAAGGTAAAATTCAGCAAAAATAATCATTTTTGTCGTCCTCTCCTCCACCTTCTCAATTATCAGGCCAATTTTGGTGGAAGAAAGAGACTAATGTATTCAAAAACTTCCCACAGAATCTCAATTTCATAGCAGCTCCTAGCAAGATATGAAGACATAAACTTAATGGATAAGGTACCTTTAGAGAAACCTTATTTAAACAAACCTTAGTTAAACAAATACTACCATCTAAAAAATACACATTCGGTTGTTTTACTTTTGTGTTTGTCTAAACCAAGGCCTGAAAACCTAGCAGGAACACAGGAACTCCTGACGAGGCAGCAGTTCCCTCATCAAAGGGCATTCATTCCACTTGACAAGCAAAGCCCAGTGGAATGTTGTTGAAAAATACTGGTTCTCTTTCCACTTCATCTCTCTTTGGCTTATTTGTTGCTGATCCTATGCTCCAGTTCCTTTTATCTGAATCTCCCTTGTCCTTTCATGCTTAAATTAACATCCAGTTTTGACATCTCAACCTTTTTTTGATTCCTGTTCTAAATGGCCTACAGAATCACATGAAAGAAAGCCAAGTAGAACTATCAAATACTTCCAAATAAATAAATGAGCAGAATAAAACAAAAAAAAATTCTGCTTTATCTTTGCTTTCACCCTTCCTTATAATATATTTAGCTTATAATACTGTTGAGAATAACCTCTCTAATGGTTGATGAGGTACAGAACCTATAATACCATAAGGATATTTATTAATTCTAGGACTAGGGAGATAGATTTAAAAATTAAAAACATTGTGCTTACTAAAGATGATATTTATCTAAACAAAGTATATTCACTTACCAAAATTTCTTCATTTTGAAGCTGCCCCTCTGTGTGTACAAAATCTAAAAAATAAATTTAACAGAAATGAGTTAAGGTTCAAAATATATAAGGATAACTCCTGAAATTTATGTACAACAAAATATGATTATCTTGGGCTGGGGTTGTGGCTCGGTGGTAGAGCGCTTGCCTAGCATGTGTGAGGCACTGGGTTTGTTTCTCAGCATCACACAAAACAAATAAAATAAAGGTTCATCAACATCTAAAAAATATATTAAAAATATGATTATCCTGTAAACCATAAGTTAAAATTGAATTTAAAGGAATTGTCAGTGCTTGGGTGTTGAAATCTGATATAAAAATAGAGACGTTTGATATAAAAGTTTAAAAAACTATATGAGCTATAAAATATCTCTAGGGAGTATAAGCAAAAGATAACACAAATGTAAATTTATTATAAAGGAATGTAAAGCAAGGACCAGATAAAATGTGAAAATGTCTCCTGACAAGAATTATTTCATCACACTCAGGGATAACAACTAGAGCTTCGTTGCTCAGAGTAAATTCTCACTATGATGTAGAATTATGAGGCTGGTGAAGTGATCTTTTCTGGTATTCAAGTATAAAAAAACCTTTACTTGTATAATAGGATAGATTATTTATTTGGTCATGAGTTAATCACATCAAACATTTTTTTTTGAAACACTGACAACTTAATTGATATAGTAATATTTACTGGCATTAATTTTATTTCTATCAAAATAATTAATGTATGTAATTTTAAAAGACACAGAGTATAAGGGCAGTCTCTAGGAAGAAAAATTATGTGTGACTTCTGCTTCTTGATGAAAAACTGTAAATCACCCCCCTCCATTTGCCCTCATTCTCTTCCAATCATACTCCCTAGCAGTAATGTTTTCAACTCTTTAAGCTGTTCTTCCTGGATTATGATTATATTCCCTTTCTTTTTTTATCAATTTTTTTAATTGACTTTACATTATAGTCAGTGAAAATTTAGGTTTCTTAAACCAAGAATCCTTTCTTCTTCCTGCTGCAACTTCTACCTCCTCCCATCCCCTCAGTTTTGAAATCAATATTTGATAGTTATATTATTATATCCATATAAATGTTACTGAGTACTGAGATAAGTAATACATTATGATCACATTTTCTTTCTTATACATCTCCATTAAAAATTAATTACAACCCCTTCTTTTTTAAAAAATATTTATTTTTTAGTTGAGTTGGACACAGTACCTTTGTTTTATTTATTTATTTTTATGTGGTGCTGAAGATTGAACCCAGGGTCTCGCACGTGCTAGGCAAGTGCTCTACTGCTGAGCTGCAACCCCAGCCCCTGATAATCCCTTCTTTATTTGCTTAGCTTCTTTTTTTTTTCAGTTATGAAAAACTGGAAAATCTCAAAATGAAATGAAGAGAGAAAATAATATTTGCTATATATACCTACTATCTAGATTTTTTAATTACTAACATTTCAGCATTATTGACTTAATTTAAAAAAATTTTTTTAGTTGTAGATGAACATAATAATTTTTAAAAAATTTTTATTTTTTAGTTTTAAATGGATCTTTTATTGTTGATGTATTTATATGCGGTGCTGAGGATAGAACCCAGGGCCGCACACGTCAGGCAAGTGCTCTACCACTGAGCCAAAACTCCAGCCCCCCCCCACACAATATCTTTATTTTATTTATTTATTTTTATGTGGTGCCGGGGATCAAATCCAGTGCCTCACACATGTGAGGTAAGCACTCTAAAACTGAGCCACAGTCCTAGCCCTAAATTATTTTTGTTACATTATTTTAAAGTTAGCCTAAGATATCATGACATTCCACCTCTAAATACGTGATTATCCATCTCTCTCTCCCTCTTTTTTTTTTTTTTTTTTTGGTACCAGAGATTGAACCCAGGTGTGCTTTACCACTTTTTTTTATATTTATTTTGAGACAATACTGGCTAGTAATCTTTGACTGTCTTTTGTTACATTTGACTAAATCATTTGAAAACTGTGTGCATTTTCTGACTGGTACACTTCAAAAAGAACAACAGGGGGGCTGGGGATGTGGCTCAAGCGGTAGCGCGATCGCCTGGCATGTGTGCGGCCTGGGTTCGATCCTCAGCACCACATACAGAAACAAAGATGTTGTGTCTGCCGAAAAACTAAAAAATAAATATTAAAAAATTCTCTCTCTCTCTCTAAAAAAAAAAAAGTTATTTGCTTTCTCCTCTATTAAAATATACATCTTACATTTGCTTTAGTTTCCTGAGTTTTGTTTAATTTTTTTGTTGTTTTTCTTGTAAATTTGCTTCATTTTATTCCTTTATTATTATTCTCATAGTATTTGGGAAAGGAAAAGAGATAGCACATGAAGGCAATGTTTTTGTTTAATTGGAGGCTACCAATTTTTTTGATGATATTTATTGTTCAACTTTAATATGCCAACCACTAGTTCACAAAAGCCTTTAAATGATTGGTATCCTCTCTCTTTTTTCTGATAAGGATTCTGAAATTCAGAAAAATTCATTGTTATATAACAAGCCAGGTTTTTCGGTCTTAATTGTGTACAAGAATCAACAAAGTCATATGGAAAAAAATAAAAATGAAAATAGAAATGACCCATAATCCCATAAAAAATAAATAAAACAATCATTATGGTCACCTATTATTCACCAAAATGCAGTTGGAGTGGAAAAGTAGAGTCAGAGGACAATTATCTACTCTCTTGTGTTCAGAACAATGCTGGTAAACAAGCACATACCCCTTTCAATCCATCGCTCAAAATCGACAGGCTCTTTAGATTTGGTCTTTTCAATCTTCAAGGTCCGCACTGACATTGTAAATAAACAAAATGTTAATTACCTTTCTGACTCTATGTTGTTTTCTCTATATTTCTTTTTCCCTCTGCCAGAGACTGACATGCATTGGTAGAACTAGAGTATTAGGATCAGAAATACCATGTTCTGGAAGTTATCCATTCTGTTTTTCTATATATCCCCACGGTAAAATGTGGTCTTTCCTTTTTTTTTTTAAATAGTACTGGGGATTGAACCTAAGGCTACTCTACTACTGAGCCATATCTCTAACCCTTTTTTTTTTTTATCTTGAAACCATTTCTGAGGCTGTCCTTGAACTTGTGCTACTCCTGCTTCTGTCCCCCTGCCTTCCCCGAGTCTCTGGCATACAGGCGTGCACCTCAGTGCCACAGAACTGGGCTGTGTCATGGTGATCTTATAATGTTTATAACTGTAAAACATAAAGCTAGTGGAACTGTTTTGAATTTGATCATCATCCAGAATTATTTTATATATTGATGATAACATTTGGTGGTCTTGGTCATAAACATTTATGAAGAACCTATTATGAGTACAGGCATTTTTTTATTGTCTTGTGACTACAGTCTTAAGGGAAAAGTATTACTAATCTATTCTACTGATGAGGATGTAAGCTTAGGGAAGCAAGGTAAGGTGTTTAATGAGAAAGAACAAGTAAGGAGCAGAACTGAAATTCAACCTCAAGGACTGTCTGACTCCAGAGCCTATGCAATTAATGGCAGAGGAAAGACTGAGCCATGCATTTTCCTTCTGCACTGTGTTCCCTTCCCTGTCTTCACCTAGTCTCTGCCACTCTAGATCCATTCCTCCTCTTCTCTATCTTGTCCTGTGCCTTGAATGGCTGACCCCTGTGGACTAGTCTCCTGGACTTACCCATTGGCTTCTGAGTGGAGTTGGCCAGTGGAGGCACCAGGAGTGGACAAAGGGCTGTAAGAAGTAAGATCAGGCTATTCTCTCTCCACTTCCTCTCTGCTTTGGTGTCAGGTGTTGGACAACAGTCAAGTCCCTTCATGATCATAGCTCCTGCTGGGCAGGATCTGGCTCTCACTGGGGTGAGATAACATTATCTCCTTGCCTTGCCCCAGGGAAATAATGGTCTCCTGCTGTAGCTAGTTTCTGAGGGCCTCATCATCCCTTGTTTATTCCCTTAGCCCAGGACATACTTTCATAAGTGGACCCATCAATAAAACCTCTTCATTTGAAACATCTGGGATGTGTTTTGTTTCCTGCCATGATTTTGTCTGATATACTCTATCCCTAAATAAACACACAGGATTAGAAGAATGTTTCAATGGGAGATTCTGTTCCTAAATTCCCAGAAAATGTCATTATTAATAGAAGAATCAACACCATTCAATGTGAAAAAATCAGGGTTATTGAATTTTCAGCAAGAATTTGATAGAGAACTCCAGGATGAATGAATCTTGGGAAAAAAGATGTCATGGAAACTAGCATTCTGGCAAGTCAGCTTCTTATGTTCATAATAGGGTCTTTTGCCAAAGACTTTCATGTCGTAAATTGCATGGAAATTATTATGTGCTTTGGAAGGGTTTCAAATTTGCAATTTAAAGAGGTTAGTTGTGCTGAAGGCAGTTAACCCAGAATCCCTACCCTCCCATTCCAACAATAAAACTGGATTCCACGCTGTGAAGAAAAACTAGGGTTTTGCCAAAAGTTTACATATATGTCCTCTGCTTATGGAAAAATTAAAGGATGGTGAAAATTAATGTATGATTTGCTTACCTAAGTAACTTTGGATTATAAGTTTTTCAACCTTTACATGTTTGTGAAAACATATAATGAACTCCTGGGGAAACATTCCTGTGGTGGTCCAAAATGTTTCTGGATTCCTGTCGTTAATTTGAAAGAAAAAGAAAAATAGCTAAATATAAAAGTTAAATCATAAAGTTCTCATGATAAGTATTATAAAAATTACTATGGGATTATGATAATCCATTTCTGTTAATTCTGCCTCTAATCTCTCCCCAAGTTTAATAATTCTTTGCTACCACCAGATATTCTCTTCTAAAACACAGGAATAGAACTGATGTCACTCCTGTCTAAAAGCCTTCAGTGGTCCCTCACTGCCAATAAATTTAAACTCCTTAGTATGACATTTAAGACTGTACAGTCTGGTTTCATAATTAAAGGACATTATCCTCCATCACTACATCACCATCAATCACTATAGTCACTCTGGGCCACTTAAAATTCTGCAAACACATCATGCAGGCTCTTGTTTCCACATAGCAGTTCCTGAGATTCTCTTTACCCAAAAAGTCTTTCTTCCCTTGCAAAAGTTTATTCACTTTTGGGCCCAATCTCTCTAACCCCAACAAATTGGAATCATTTCCTCCTTTCTTTGCACTTCCCTGACACTCAGCAGCCCATTTCTGCACTGACACTTATCTCTTATGTTTTTATGGCTCCTGCAAGATGATGAGCTCTTTGAACCCAAACACTTCCCACTACTCATCTTCATATCCCTAGCAACTGTTAAATAGTTAAACCACAGTATGTGTTTGCTGAAAAAAAAAATTAAATATGCAGCTTTAAGTTGTACAGATGTGTGTTTGAAATAGTATATGTGGTACTGACGACAGAAGTAATAATTTCAACAATGTAAACCTTTTTCTTTTATGGAGGCAAAATTTATATACAATGAAATTTACCTTATAACTTCATAAGTTTTTGTTTTTTGCTTTTTATGATGCTGGAGATCAAACCCAGGGCCTTGCATATGCTAGGCAACTACTCTACATGAATTACATCCCCAGGCCATTTAATGAGTTTTGATAAATGTATATGCTTATGTAACTGATCCCAGGATAACCAATACCCCCATCAAGATATAGAACATTCTCATGACTCCAGAAACTTTCCTTCCAGACCATCCCTACTTCCCTCAATTATTACTTTGACTTTTATCACCATGACCTATTCTGCAATGTATGTATGTGTATACACACATGTATATATACATACACACATACATATGTGTGTATATATACATATATATTCATATATATATGTAGTGCATTTTTTTTTTTAACTGCTGGGGATTGAATCCAGGGATACTCTATCACTGAGCTACATACAGTCCTATTTTATTATTTGCTTACTTACTTATTTTGCATTACTGGCAACTGAACCCAGGAGAGTTTTACACTGAGTTACATCTCTAGTCCTTTATCTATCTATCTATCTATCTATCTATCTATCTATCTATCTATCTATCTATTTATAAGCCAGGTCTCACTAAGTTGCCAAGGCTGATCTTTTATTTTTTCTTTTCTTTTTTTTTTAATTTTTATTTTTTATTAGTTGCTCGAGACAATACAATGATCTTGACATATCATACATTTGACTCAAATGGGGTATGAATTCTCATGCCAAGGCTGATCTTGAACTTATGATCCTCCTGTCTCAGCCACCCAAGTCACTGTGATGACAAAAAATTGAGACAGGATCACACTAAATTGCTCAGGCTAGCCTGAACTTGCAATCCTCCTTACTCAGTTACCTAATAGCTGGGATTACAGGCATGTACTACCACACTTGACTTGTTCATTCTTTTGTTTGATATTTGGATTGCTTCCAGTTTTTTAATGTTATAATAAATAAAGCTACTATAAACATTCTTACACAAGTGTCTTTGTAGACAAAGTCATTACTAAGAGTGGCTTTGTAGGATGATAAGGTAGAGTTATATTTAACTTTATAAAAACTGCCAAATTTCCAAAGTGGTTGCACTATTATATACTCTTACCAGCAATGTTAAGAGAGTTCTACTTGCTCCACACCCTTTGTCAACATTTGCTGTTATCAGTCTTTTTAATTTAACCATTCTAGTAAATGTGAAATGGTCTCCTATTGTTTTAATTTGCATTTTCCTGATAACTATAATGCTAAGCCCCTTTTTCATGCATGTTAGTCACTCATCTATTTTCTTTTGTTAAGTGTCTCTTAAATATTTTGTCATATTTTTATGAAGCTGTTTGTTTTTTTATTATATACTTGTAGCAGTCCTTTTGTTTGTTTGTGTTTGTGTATATATATATATATATATATTTTTTTTTTTTTTCCAAATGAATATTTTCTCCCAGTCCATGATTTGCCTTGTTTTTTTTTTCTTTTTCTTTTTGGTACCAAGGGTTTGATTCCAGGGGTACTTAATCATTGAGCCACATCCCTAGCCCTTTTTATTTTTTATTTTGAAACAGGGTCTTGCTAAGTAGCTTAGGACCTTGCTGAGTTGCAGAGACTGGCTTTGAACTTGTATCCTCCTTCCTCAGCCTGCCGAGTTGCTAGAATCACAGGCATGCAATGGCTTGCCTTTTCATCTTCTTAAGCATGGCTTTCAATAAGCAGAAATTTCATTACTGACAAAGTCCAGTTTTGTTACTTTTTTTCTTTCTTTCCTTCTTTATCTTTAAAAAAATTTTTTTTCTTTTGTATTTACATGTGGTGCTAGGGACCGAACCCAGTTTCTCATGCATGCTGAGCAAGCTCTCTACCACTGAGTTACATGACCAGCCCCATTTTTTAATTTTATGCTTAGTAATTTTTGTGTCATCCCCTTCCCAAAAGAAATATTTGTCTACTGCAATGTCGCAAAGTTCTTTCTTATGAGGTCCATGATCCATCCTGAATTAATTTTTGTGCTCAGTATAGGATAAGGGTCACAGTTTATTTTTATCTATGTTTACTCTGTTGCTCAAGCACCATTTGTTAAAAAGGCTTTCTTTTTCTTATTGGAACTTATAGTGTCTTTCTCCAAAATAAAACATATTCTGTCAAAAATATAACCTAAATAACCTGATGCTGTGGGTCTGTTTTGGGCTCTCTATTCTATTTCACTGGTCTAATATTATAAATATATTACACTGCTTTGATTATTGTGAATTGGTTATTCTATGTCCTGAAATCAGATAAAGTAAGTAAGTGCTTTAACTTTCTTCTTTTTCAAGATGATTTTGACTAGTCCAGGTCTTTGTATTTCCAGATATGTTTCAGAAAAAAATTTGTTAGTGTTTATGTAAAAGTATACCGAGATTTTTAATTTGGATTGTACAGATTCTACATTAATTTAGAAAAAAGCTGGCATTTTAACAATATTAAGTTTTCTAATTATGCACATAGTATATATTTTCATTTATTTAGCTCTTTATTATATTAAAAGTTTTGTCAACAATATCTTATAAACTTCATTGTGAAGGTCTTGTGTGTCTTATTAAATTTATTCTAAACTATTTTATGTTTTAAACGCTATTTTAAGTAGATTTTTTGGGAGGAGGGACGGGTACCAGGGATTGAACCAAGATTTATAAAATGATGTTTTAAAATAAAATTTAGGTAAATTCAATCCCAAATTAGAACTAATCCAGATATCTATCACTGACAAATGGATAAATAAAATCTGCTTTATCCATGCAATTGAATATTATTTGACAATAAAAAGAAATTGTTCTGAGATATGCTACCACATGGATGAAGCCTGAAAACATGAAAAGTGAAAGAAGCTAGTCAAAAGGCCATATATGTATGATTAAATTTATATGAAAAGTCTGAATCAGTAACATCTACAGAAATAAGGTAGATTAATAATGGTTACCTAGGGCTGGTGGGGATGGATAAATACAGGGTGACTGCTAATGAATGCAAGGCTTCTTCTGGGGGTGATGAAATGTTCTAACATGGATCGTGGAAATGGTTGCGTAACTCTGAATATGTGGGAAATACTAAATTGTAGACTCTAAATGGGTGAATTATACAGCATATGAATATATACATAAAGGGTATTTTTTGGGGGGGATACCAGGGATTGAACCCAGGGGTGCTTAACCACTGAGCCTCATCCCTAGCCCTTTTTTATATTTTATTTAGAGGCAGAATCTCTATTTAGGGTTTTGCTAAGTTGCTGAGGCTGGCTTTGAACTTGTGATCCTCCTGCCTCAGGCTCCCAGGGATTACAGACGTGCGCCACCATGCCTGGTATATGTCAATAAAGTTGTTACAAAAAAAGGGTTAGGTCTCCTATCTAATAATTCTGATTTTTAAATTCTATATTTAATAATTTATAATTTCCTTTTTACTTATAACTATATGGTTTAAAATTTTATCTATTTAAATAATTTAGTGAATTTAATTGTCCTAGTTTTTCCTTCAGTGCTTTCAATAAACATGACCAATATAATAATTCTACATATTATTATATAGATGCACTTGGACTTTAAAATGACATAATTGCATCCTCATAATTAGGTATAAGGAAATTGTCAAAGTAGTAGTTTTCTTTTTCTCTTTCTTTTCCCAGCACCATGTATTGAACCCAGGGGCATTCAACCACTGAACCACATCTCCAGTCCCTGCTCCACACACGCCCCACCCTGTTTTTTTTTTTTTTAATTTTTTTTAGTTGTAGATGAACAAATAACTTTATTTTGTTTATTTATTTTTATGTGTGCCTCACTCATGCGAGGCAAGCACTCAACTGCTGAGCCACAACCTCACCCCCCTTTTTTTGGTATTTTATTTAGAGACAGGGTTTCACTGAGTTGCCTAGCACCTCACTTTTGCCAAGGCTGGCTTTGAACTCGCGATCCTCCCTCCTCAGCCTCCTGAGCCACTGAGATTACAGGCACGCGTGGGCCCTGCCTGGCAATAGTTTTCTGTTGAATAAGGATTGACTGCTAACAACTGTTTCACATCTATTATCTCATGTGATTTGTTGTTGTTGTTGTTGTTTTAATAACTCTGAGGAAGGCAGAAAAGGTGGTGTTATCTCTATTTTTTAGATTGGAAATGGAGGCCCAAAGGCTGAAATATATGTCATCCTTAAAAAAAAAAG